AAAGCGCATAATTCTAACATTTGCAATGGATGATGGATGACTAGATGAGGCTGTCGACTGCCGTTGTCCCTAGAAATTCTAAAAGAAAGAAGAAAAGTGGCATGTAGTATGAGGTATAATTTTATCACTCTGATTTTTTGTAGCTAGATATAGATAGACTGCCTCCAGTTACTTTTATTAAAGGGCGTTTTGGACAGCAAAATGAAACCATGGAAATCGACATGCTCATTTCTTCTTGCATATATGTATACATGGTCTCCATAGTGAGCCACATCGTGCATATAAACTTTGAGCTAGTATTAACAATTGAGGAGAAGTGTGTAATTTAGAAGCATATATGGATATGGATATTATTATTTATGTTGATAAATGTATGTAAGTTGAAATTAGTGTTTTACATTAAATCATTTTTAACAGGAAAATTTCAAAACACTACCATCAAATGTCCACGTAATCCTCTCTAGACTATCATTTGATTTGGTTTACTCCCCTCAATTATTCCAATTGGTCTGATTTACCCCTCAACAACATTAGTCTTTTTTGTTTCTCCACATTTCAAATTGATTTTAAATTTCAAAGTTTTTTGAGGGGATAGCTAGCATCATAATTTATTTTTTTAAAATATGTCATAAATTTTATCATTATTTTTGACAGGTTAGGACATATTATAAACTAACACTAGAAATACAAAATCATATTAAGCATAATGATATAGAATCCATAATGTATTTTATAAAAAAAATTATTGTGTTCACTATCACCTAACATATTTTAAAATTAAAATTCAACTTGTACGTAGAGAAATGAAAAAAAAAGACAAATCTTTTTAAGGGATAAATTAGAGTAACTGAAATAGTAAAGAGGAGTAAACAGAACTAAATGTCATTTGAGACGCCAGCGGGATAATTAATAATGAGTCGTGGAGCATAGGACACCGGCACACCGCCCTTTCAACAAGTGAAAGGAAAACAGGCAATGAGGCAAATGTCTAGGGGCGAGCCTAGCATTATTCAAGGGTATTCAGCTGAATACCCATTATTTTGGTCAAAGAAAATTATACATGTATTGTATAAATGCATGTGTATTAGAAAAAAAAACAAAAAAATATAGCTAAAGTAATAGGGTACTCATGAATTAAGAATATCCTCCTGGTACTCTCTCTTACATTCTCATTGGCCCAACAAGACCTACTGGACCAATTTCTTCCAACTCCAGAACTCCCTATCGCTCGACATGTGACTTCAGTTTGCTCGGCGTGTACTGACTCCCGTCCACTCGGCATTTCACCGCTTCTGATCTCCTCTTGATTTCGGTTCCAAAAATCCAAACTCTAGGTCCAAGGCAGTGATGGCGGACTGGTAGCACTCCAGCAAGGCGATGTCGGACCAGCGCTGCTTCGGTCTTTGTGGTCGCACGTAGTGTCCACTCTTTGCTCGGCGTGACCTGGGACGGACAGGCAGTTGCCGCGTCGTGCTCCTACGGGCTACCCACGACCAGTGCACGGTTAGGCCAGAACAACGAGCAGCGAGCAAGAACGTGGGCCTGTTCGCTGGTTGATGCTGGTGCTGGTTTGTGTTGCCTGGTATTGGTTTTTTGTGAGAGAAAAACACTGTTGGTTGGCTGGTTTGGGCTGGCTGAAACCAACAAGCGAACATGCCCTATACTCTATAATCGATTACAGCACCAAGCAATTAATTGGCTTCCAATTTCGACAAGGCTAAGGCAATGAGCACTAATTATTAGAAGCCAAACCAAAAAAAAATTATACATTACCCAAAATATTTACTAATATGGGGTATTATGCATGCTAAATATTAGACTTTATCTAGCCAAAATTTAACAAAATGAAAAGCATATTACATTTTGAGGACCCGGTTCTAAAATCCTAGGCCAGCCACTACAAATGTCTATGGGCCATCAATTTTGATGAAACGATAAGAATCATCGAGAGAGGAGTTGTGAAAAGAGAACAGGCAAACCGGTGGTGTAAAGGAACTAAGGGTGTGTTTGGCACACAGAACCGGTTCCGATTCTTATGTGAATCAGTAGAAACCGTATCAAACATCATATATACTGGTGAAACATTTCCAGCAGAAACCGTTCCAAGTGATTCTCACTTTTTTGCCTATGAATGTGAATCGTTGAAAACATGGTTTCGCGGTGATTCTGATTCTGATTCTGTAACCAAATAGTTTAGCGATTCCGATTCACCATCTGAAATGTTTCTTGACAGAATCTGGATCTGCAACGTTTCTATGAGAATCTGAATCCTTACCAAATTCCGAGATTTGAAACGGATGATGGACCACTAGACAAGGTTGTCGATTGTCCTCGTCCCTGAAAATTCTAAATAAAAGAAAAAAAAAGAAAAGTGGCATGTAGTATGAGGTATAATTTTATCACTGATTTTTCGTACCTAGATATAGATAGACTGCCTCCGGTTACTTTTATTAAATGGCGTTTCGGCCAGGAAAATGAACCCATACATATAATTTTGAATCAGAGTCACTCTAATATTTACAGTACTTTACCTAGATACCACCTCCCGTTACTCTAATTTTGAATTACACAGTACAATATAGACGCTCACAACACGCACGCACACTCACTCTATGAACACACATATATATAACCCTACCCCTATGAGCACCTCCGAAGGACTGACTCGAGATTTACAAAGTCACCACGGGCGTCTTGTTGTTGACGGTAACGTCGCCTACCACTGATAGCATAGCGCCGTTAAATCCTGAAATAAATCGAGGAAAATGCGAGCATCCGTGCCAAGTCGAGAACTTAAACCCAGGTAGATAAGTTCCATCACAAGGAATCCAACCAACTGATCTATGATCAGTTTGCCAATTACTTTAATTTTGGATGGCCTTTCAGACAGCAAGATGAAACTATGCGAACCGTGATGCACTCATGTATATTTATTTGACCAGAGAGAGCACTAGATTTCCCGCTACTGGACAGAGAAGTTACTCAAGTTTAGCCTATTCGCTTGGTCGTATTTGGTTTATAAGTCATGATTTATAAGCCAACGAACAGTATTTTTTCTCACACCAAATCAGACAACAATACTTTCAGTCATGGCTTATAAGCCAAATCAGTCCAAACGAACAGCACGTTAGTTGGCTAGCCGGGATAGCTCTTAAACATGAACCAAACACACCCATAGTGATTGTTTCCTGCTAACTGAATTCGACACGAGTAGGATCCTACACTAATTGTTTCCGATCAGAAGAGTTCACATGGATCCAATCAGCAAGCACTAATGCACACATCCGATTGGTGAATCCTGGGAGTGTAGCTGCCAGCTGGTCTGACGCTAACACACACTTGGGAAATCTGACGCGTCGCAGGACGGTTTTTGCATCAAGTAGCGAAAGCTGGAGCTCCACCGGCATGAATCCGGACGACGGAGGTCCGAGGCGAGACATGGCAGCATGGTTATGCTGCCGTGCTATGCTCCCTTGTAAAAAGAAAGCCCGGACGGCTCGGCAGTCGGCACGACGCATCAGACGGATAGTTCTTCAATTCTTCATTCATGTCTTTCTTTTCTATTTCTTCTTTTTTTTTGGTAAAAAAGGAGTTGTTTCCTCTTGTTCATGACATTTCCCAAGCAAGTACGGGTGATGGCTTGTACAAGGAACCAAGTTAAAAAAAAAGGGATGGTTTTATCTTCCATTGGTGCCATTTTTCCATCTTCAGGCGAAGCATGCACGTTGATCGCACAACGTGGGTCTATTCGGCTGGTATTAAAGCCGGCTAATAAGCTGGCTGAAGCTGTTTTGTTGTGAGAGAAAAATACTGTAGATTTCGATAAGTTCAAGCAAACAGGCCAGAGAGGATTATGACTGATGCATCACAGATAGATGGAATATATAAGAAGAAGAAAGTAAATGGCAGCCTGTTCGCTTTTTGTTTCAGCTAGGGCTTATTAGCCAGTCAACAGTATTTTTCTCTCACAATAAATCAGCATCAATCAATCTTATCAGCTTAGAAACCCAGCAGCGAACAGGCTGAAACCAAAAAAGCCGAGGTGTCGGCATCACAGATATTCCGCCTCCCCTACCGAACCTACCCGGTGGGCGTCAGCAAGCACTCGCAAGTCACCGAACCAGCAGCCACCAGCCAGGCAGGCAGCAGTTATCTTGGCGCTGAAGACTCCTCCCTCTCCCAGTCTCCCTGGCTGGCTCCCTCCCGTACACAAAAAACAAAAAGCCCGGCCAAATCTACGCGCAGGCACGGTCAAAGATCGGCGAGAGACCGAGTAAAAGCGGCGGTCCAAGGCGCTCCGCCCCCGTCCGACCCATGTGACGCGACGCCGACGGGATGCGGCGACGGCCACGCCAAGGCGTTGAGATTCCGGTTGGAATGGAACACACTACACAGCGACGCGGACCCCGAGGGTTGCTCGTGCTTTTGCCGGGTGCCGGGGCTAATTCGGCTAAGCATCCAGCCATGCCAGAGAGGAAAGCTCACTCTGGCCATTGCCGGCGCCTCGCATGCTTCGAGGCCAAGGAAAATCACCCGCCTGCTCACTATGGCCATTGCCAGACCTTTGACCACCCCCGCCCGGCCATGTTCAGCTTCAGCCTCACAATGACGTGACCGACCGACCGACCAGATCACGTTAGACCTCTGCTAGCCTAACTAACAAGAAGACAAATCCCAACGGAAATATCTACAGTAATATATAATCTATAAAGGCCAGCTGAAAAATAAAACAAAAACAAAATAAGAGCGAAATACGGAGAAGCAAATACCGAACCAGAATAATACCGTATTAGTGTTACTTAACGCTTGCTACGATAACATTGTTCACCAACCGACCGACCATCACGAGGTCCAAAAATTAATTAACCACCACAAAGTTCCAACCAACCACGGATAATAATAAAGCTACTAGTAACGCGGACACACCGCGACGACGACGATAACTCGCGGCAGCCGAGGGGCTGCAACACACAGGCACGAAGACGACCGACACGAACCGCTTAGTCGACCTCCTCGATCTTGGGGCCAGGGCCGCCACTGCCGGCGGGGGCGTCCTCGTCCATGCCACCGGCGCCGCCCATGTCGGCCCCCGCGCCCTGGTACATCTTGGCGATGATGGGGTTGCACAGCGACTCCAGCTCCTTCATCTTGTCCTCGAACTCGTCCGCCTCGGCCAGCTGGTTGGCGTCCAGCCAGACGATGGCCGCGTCGATCGCATCCTCGATCTTCTTCTTGTCGTCGCCCTCCAGCTTGGAAGCGATCTTCTCGTCCTTGATCGTGTTGCGCATGTTGTACGCGTAGTTCTCCAGAGAGTTCTTGGACTCCACCTTCTTCTTGTGCTCCTCGTCCTCCGACTTGTACTTCTCCGCGTCCTGCACCATCTTCTCGATCTCCTCCTTGGACAGACGGCCCTTGTCGTTGGTGATGGTGATCTTGTTCTTCTGCCCCGTCGTCTTGTCCTCAGCGGACACGTTCAGGATGCCGTTGGCGTCGATGTCGAAGCACACCGTGATCTGGGGGACACCACGGGGGGCAGGGGGGATGCCGGACAGCTCGAACTTGCCCAGCAGGTTGTTGTCGCGGGTCCTGGTCCTCTCACCCTCGTACACCTGGATCAGGACACCAGGCTGGTTGTCTGAGTAGGTGGAGAACACCTGCTCCTTCTTGGTGGGGATGGTGGTGTTCCTCGGGATCAGCACAGTCATCACACCTCCGGCAGTCTCCAGACCAAGGGAGAGAGGGGTGACATCCAGCAGAAGCAGGTCCTGCACCTTCTCGTTGCCCTCACCGCTCAGGATAGCGGCCTGGACAGCAGCACCGTAGGCAACGGCCTCATCAGGGTTGATGTTCTTGCACAGCTCCTTGCCATTGAAGAAGTCCTGGAGCAGCTGCTGCACCCTGGGGATACGGGTGGAACCACCAACAAGGACAACATCGTGCACGCTGCTCTTGTCCATCTTGGCATCCCTCAGGCACTTCTCCACAGGCTCCATGCACTTCCTGAACAGGTCCATGTTGAGCTCCTCAAACCTGGCACGGGTGATGGTGGAGTAGAAGTCGATGCCCTCATACAGGGAGTCGATCTCAATGGTGGTCTGAGCAGTGGAAGACAGAGTCCTCTTCGCCCTCTCACAAGCAGTCCTCAGCCTCCTAAGAGCCCTCGGGTTGCCAGTGATATCCTTCTTGTTCTTCCTCTTGAACTCCTGGACGAAGTGGTTGACCATCCTGTTGTCAAAGTCCTCACCACCAAGATGGGTGTCACCAGCTGTGGCCTTGACCTCAAAGATGCCTTCCTCAATGGTGAGGAGGGATACATCGAAGGTACCACCTCCAAGGTCAAAGATGAGGACGTTCTTCTCGCCAACGCTGGTAGCCTTCTTGTCAAGACCATAGGCGATTGCAGCAGCGGTTGGCTCATTGATGATACGCAGCACATTGAGGCCAGCAATCACCCCAGCATCCTTTGTGGCCTGCCTCTGCGAGTCGTTGAAGTAGGCAGGGACTGTGACAACAGCATTCTTGATCGTGCTGCCAAGGTAAGCTTCAGCAATCTCACGCATCTTGATGAGAACCATAGAGGAGATCTCCTCAGCTGCAAACTGCTTCTCCTCACCCTTGTGCTGGACAACAATCATTGGCTTCTCACCAGGCCCAGAAATGACCTTGAAGGGCCAGAGCTTCATATCGCCCTGGACAGAAGCATCAGAGAACCTCCTGCCGATGAGACGCTTGGCATCTGCATACAAAAGCAATCATGTCAGATATGCATTCCAATAGTACCATACAATTCGAAATGTAACAGAAATCAACCTTTTGTTAATAAACAAAACTTTGATCAATCAAGTGAAATCAGGCTACCTTAATAACTAATAAAAATTCACATCAGTTCAGTCAAGATGCCACTAGCATGGTCAATCAAGTTTACTCCAATAATAATAATCAGACTGTATTCAGAAAACAAATTACACCTAGCTGGCTAGCTAGCTAAGAAAAAACAAACATCAGTTTTTTCAGTCATGATCATTAGCACAATCAGAACATGTAAACGGGCATATAGTAACTGGAAGCTCATAAATGAGCAACCAGTGTCGCAAGTTCCGTTCCCCCTTGTTTTCTGCCATGTTTCGAGACACACAATCACAAAAAAATGACTGCGAGTCAGATACCAAATGGCATTGACTGCAACAAATTACACTAGAAAACACTCTGAATGCAATAAAAACCTAAATTTGCGGTGCAATCTCAGCCGAAAGATGGTGATTTTTTTTGTAATAATCAGAGTGATTCAGGAATTGGGAATTCTTGCATCACGGATTGCACATAAAAAATAGACTAACAACAAATAACTATTTAGACTTTAGAGAACTACTGATGACTTACAAGATACTATGAAACTGGTAAAAGTTTACATTAAAAATGAAATGTTAAATAGAGATCAGATGGTAGTGCATGATGTGATCATCATAATGAATGCAGGTATATCCTATGTTATGATATCACTTCTTCCTATGTTATGATATCACTTCTCCCATTAAAATTGAACTACCATGCAAAGGTTCCAACTCTGGCAAACCTCATCCACAGACATGATCAAAATATCAGAGCAACAAATAGCAGTACAACATTTTGAAAAGCTTATACAATCAAAATGATGCTTGATGTGCAGAAGTGCCAACTACCAACCATAAAAGCTGAAGTACAATATAAAGTAGGGAGCCAATATTTTCTAGTAAAAGTAATAGACTGAAGCATGAGAGATCAGATGGTGATGCATGATGTTGTCATCATAAAGAATGCAGATATCTCGTGTGGATACAATCTCATCACTTCTCCCATTACTTAAACCAAAAGGAAACTAAACGACAGATCCAAATGCCATCTTCCAGTCAAGGTTTCCATCTTGACATGACTGGAAGAAAAAAAATTGAACAAAATCGAAGAAAAAAACTGAACTCTTGATCTGCAGTTTCAGATTGAAAACCACAAAAGCTATTGTAACATAGCTTTCCATCACTGGTATCAGTGGAATAAAGCGCTTGGGGTAATTGTTTCCTCATCAATCTGACAGCTCAAAAGTTAACAAATAGTACTCCAGAACCATCCAATCATAATTTTAGCACTGAGTAGGTACTAAAAACTAACAGATCTAACGCTAACAATACAACAGACCAAAAACAGATTGCATGGATCTACAAAAGACACGTGTATAAAACTCCATGTCAAGTAATATAACAATACGCAGTCGGGCTATCAGGCTACTCAGTCTTACAAACTAGCTGGTCTCGGTCCCAAGACCAGATCAGACAAAAAGTGACAGATCTGTGAGCCCAGCAAGAGTAAAAATAACTATGCAGCTACTACTACTGGCCACAATCGCTTTCAGATCCGACCGATCTAAACAAAACAGCTAGTGGATCGGATCTGAGCAACTTTTTTACGACATGAAGTTATACACAAATCAATCACGCACTAAAGTAGATCCAGCTAAGCTGCAGTACATCAGTCAGACCAAACCACTAATCACGGTAAACAAAACGGATCTGAGCCGGGACAGAAGTAAGTAAAGCAGAGAACGCGGGTGTGCTCACCAAAGACGGTGTTGATGGGGTTCATGGCGACCTGGTTCTTGGCCGCATCTCCGATGAGGCGCTCGGAGTCGGTGAAGGCGACATACGAGGGCGTGGTGCGGTTACCCTGGTCGTTGGCGATGATCTCGACACGGTCGTGCTGCCACACGCCGACGCAGGAGTAGGTCGTGCCGAGGTCGATGCCGATCGCCGGCCCGTCGCCCTTGCCGGCCATATCTTCTCGCTCTCAGCGGTCTCGCGGAGGACGGGAGGGGATTGGCGGCGGCTGTGGGGAGGGAGCAGGGGGACTAGGGTTTCGAGAGGGAGAGGGACGGACGCGGGGAGGTGACGTTTTATAGGGGCCAAAGGGCGCGTCAGCGCGTGAGCTGTGGAGTTCTAGAATGTTCCTGGGCGCGTCGTGGGAAGATCCGAGCCGTTGAGATGCGATCGTGCGGCCGAGCGCGCGTGGTGGAGTCCTTTCCGCGGGTGCCTTTTGGCTTATAGCTGGTTCAAACGGCTCTTTTTTCCTTTCTGGGTTGCTTTCACGTGAGTAAAAGCAATCTTTGACGGCGGGATGGGCTGTGTCAGATCTCAGCCCAAGTCACATACCATAAGTCCGGCTTGGAGGCCCGCTTAGAACCAGCCCACTGAGGTAGACTTCCCTAATAAAGTCTCCAACAAACAAAGTAGCCAAAATTTGATATTTACAATTGATAGCAAAAAAAAAGTTTGATATTTACAAAAAAAATCAGCGAGATCTTGAGCAACAAAAAAAGTTTGACGATCTTTCATAAAAGTTTGATGATATCTTTAAAATAAATGTTCCAATTCAGTCAAAATAACATGTTTTGAACGAAGAAAGAAAAGCTGTAGGCCACAACATATTGTTCCAATCAACTATTTTTTTCAAATCCCAGTAGTCGTTTCAAAATATGTAAAGCTCCAATCAAGTAGCCAAAATTATAGGGATTGAGCTTGAACCCACATGTTGTTCCAACCACAGTGAAGAAAAAGGTGTTCATGTAGTTGATTCGGGCCATGAGTTTACATATTGAACTGGAAGTTGTAGAAACTATTGTCCCAAGCATGAAATTGAGCTTAAATCGCAACCACCAACCTGCCAACGACCTAAGTAAGGGATAGGTCACATATACACAAGCGGCTTTGCTTCCTCAACGAGTTTCCATTGCTCACGAGAGTCGACATCTTCCACACCAGGTTGACAACAAAGTCCAACAACCAAGTCTAGGTTTCCATGACACCAACGAGCCTTTGTCTCGTCGAAATTATCGCATTGCCCTCCTAGGACGTGGATGGAAATGTACTTTTCTAGGTTCACCATGATCGCTTCTGCTCTCTTTGCCATTTGTTGGTGCTCGCCGTCCCTTGATGCAAGACATCGCTCTCTTTCTCGCCGTGCTACTTGACCTGAGGCCTCCTCCTGTGCCTAGCCATGACCCGTAGATGGATTCCATAGACAAACTCATGTGTCGCTATCTCTACTGCTCAAAAATGGGAAATGTCTGCTTCTAATGATCCTATGTCTTGGAGGCTTGCCTTCGTCACGAGTACTCCTAGGGCCAAGTTCAACCAAACAGAGTCAGCTCCATTAAGATAAGTGTGCCACTAACTCCTTGTGAGTCCCTTCCAAATATTCACATTCTAAAGCTCAGTCGAAAGAGGAGGGTGAAAAAAAGGTACGAGAATCTTGATTATTCATGAAGCGTTGGGGTCCCACCAAGCAATGGATGCCTATGTTACACCTATGGATAAAAAGTTTTTTTTTTAATATGGATTAATGAGAGTGTAGGTTGTGGTGCCTATGTTTTGTTTTATGAAACTAGTTTTTTAGATTGTGTAGTTTTGAGATAGTTATTTTACCATGGTATTTTTGTAGAATTGGTCTTCTTGAACTGAAAGTTACGTGGTACTCTAGACTCCTTTTGTAGTTACCTTTTCTATAAAAAAAACATTCAAACAAAAAATAATAAAAAATGAGGACCAGCAGTGAAAAGGAAAAAGAGAAAACGATCAATTTGAGCCTACACTTCGTTGCTACGAGTACGTATATAGTGCTGTTGACTTGTCATGAGACGACGTGCTTCCATGCAATTTCCTTGGTCGACAGGTGTCCCTGTGTCTTTGTCAGATTGGTAAGTGCAGGAAATTTCAAAGAATTCATCATGTCCACACAAACGTAAAGGACTAATGGTGGCCTGGACTACGTTATCACTGCCCAAGCAACGTCTTGGCTTGGACTACTCTCAGTATCGCTGAGGAAGGCGATGACCTACTTCATCTACATATGCACAAGAAGAAGCAAACCCTAGAATGCGATTTGGTACAACAACAGGGTGCCATCATCGCTTTATTATTCAAGCGGCCAAACGCTATGCTCCTTTATTTCTGCCGGAAAGGAGATGGATCATTGGGTGACAAGACAACACGCTGCGCTGCGGAGATTTGAGATGAGAGAGGCTTGCTGATGGTGCGGTTTCTTCAGGTTGGTAGAGTCTGGTGGTCAGCCTAACAAATCCATGTCTTCGCCGTCGCTAACCCAATCTTTGGCTCCTTGCTTGCCGATGTGGCAGCCTAGCAAAGCAGTGAGGATTCCAATCTTGCAGAAATATCGAAATGGTTGCGTCGACAAATTCAGAATAACCACCGTCATAATTGTGAGTACAAGTACTGGAACGGGAGATAAGCACGGAAGTTTTTTTTTAAGAGTTCAAGGGTGGCCTTAGCCTTTATATTGCAAAGACCAAACCGTACAACACTCAAAGTTCAAAAACTCCAACAGAAACGCAGAAGGCTCAACAGGCAAACAAATGCCCAGAATAGCAGAACTAACTACTGACATCATTACATCCCCCAAGATTCCGCAAGACTCAACGCTAATCCAGTCTCTTTCACGAGCCAACCTTTCAAGATCAACTTCATTTGTCAGCAAAGCTTTAACTTCATCAGCTGTATTGATCTTCCAGCCGTTTCTAGATTGATATAAGATGCGACTCAATTCATCATTCACCTGACCAAGCCAAGTAGTCGGTGAGGTCTTGTGGCGAAGCTTTTCAGTTTGTCCAGATGATCCAGAAATTCTGGGACTTTCTCCTTCGGACACAGAGAAACTCCAATTGTGCAGCATTGCTGTTACCTTCACTATCAGCACTCGCACATCTACCCACAGTGTTCCCTGAAAACACAGGCTATTTCTTAGTTTCCAAAGATCCCATAGGCCAGCAACATAAAAAATATTTTTCACTATAAATTTCCTATTACTAATCTACATAGTCCCAACAGAAACAAAATCTGTGCCAACTTGTCTATTTAAGATCTCAGAAAGAAATGGCCAAAGATGTTTAGCTACTACACAGTTAAAAAATAAGTGATTGACAGTTTCAGCCTCTGAGCAAAATAAACAAGTAGGATCCTTGATTTTCTTCATGATACTCAAATTATCCCTAGTCAGAATCTTGTTTTTAGATAACAACCACGGAAAGAAATGGACTTTAGGTGGGACCTTCAGTGCTCAAACAGCAGGAATAAACACAGGAGAAATATCTTTAAAATTAATGACTTTATATAAGGACTGTGAAGAGTATACACCATGAGAATTAAACTACCATATTAGACGGAAGTACAAGTACTGGAAGGTTACTGCCTCCTTCCACTTGAAATGCTGTGCCATGCATGTGTCTCCCTATCTCTTGCTTGAGAAGTATTGCGGCCAATTTGAGCTGGTTGGGCACGATGTTATCAGAAAACTGCTGCCTACAGGTGGTTTCTACGACAATGAAGCACAAGCTCTGAATTGCAAAAAGACAGATCTGGGTGCCCAAAAAGCTCCATGTATTTCTCGGTTGCTCCAGCGATTTCAGAGCCACCTGATGATGTCGCAGGTGTACCTGATGGAATGTTCTAGTAGCCCTAGCAGGAGGAGGATGGCCAATAAAATTTCAACCAATTTCAAAGTTACTCGTATCATGGCGGCACAGTATTAAGGACAACTAGAAAAACAGATGCGTGCCTTCTTAATGGAACATGTGTTCGTTGACACGTTCTCGAAAAAGAAAAACAGGTGCGGTGCGGCGATGGAGCAAAGCGGACCAGTTGCTGCTCTTTGACATCGTATTCAGGGATCCAGGTTCTAGATTTCTGTGAAATGGAATTTATGCTAAGGTATTTGTGTTTGGTACTAGAATTACCATGATAATTCAGTTTTTTGGTTTGTTTGATAGCTCTACGTTCGTGTGCTATATACAGAGCAACCATAACAGAGTTATCAAATATTGTTCTTCAGTATTTTGGACTTTTGGTTTGCTTTTCCCTTTTCTCTCGTGGATGACACGACCCGGCGCTGCGACAGGCTGCGCAAACGCAAGGCGCAGGCACACAGCTCGCATACACGCGAACAACAGATGGCGGGGGCGATTGTGCTTAATAATATACTGAAAAAGCATAGTAAGCAATTACATTATGCTAACCACAGATGGCGATTGTATTAACGGTCAGGCTAGCGTCCGCATGCCCGCGCATGTTGCACCTGCCTGCGCCCCGCGTAGGCATGCTGCTGTACGTGTCCGCATGCATGCGCCGGCTTCATGTGGGGCCCGTCACTACTACATAATATTTATCCATGTCGGGTGTTTTGGGTTTCCCGCGGCGGGCAAACCAGTCCGCCGCCGCCGAAAGGCCACGGTAAATCGTGGCTTCCCGCGGCGGACAGCTTTGCCCGTCGCGGTTAATCGATTTATCTCGACGGCCACATAAGAACGCCCGCCACGGCAAATCGTTCAGGAAAAATAAAAAGAAAAAAAAGAAAAAAGCCCACACGAGCTTGGACCCGGGCCGCACTGAACCTAGATCCCGCCGCCGCCGTCGATCCACCGCCGTCGATTGGATCCGCCGCAGCTCCAACCCGCCGCACCGCCGGAGGGAGAGGAAGGGCCGGGGTGGGCGCCACGCCCACCGGATCTGCGCCGCCGTCGATTGGGTGGGAGGGAGACGACGCCTCGCCGTGGATCCACGACGTCGCGGCGGGTTGGGGCCGCCCCTCCGTGGATCCGTGCCGTCGCGGCGGGTTGGGGCCGCCCCTCCGTGGATCCGTGCCGTCGCGACGGGTTGGCGCCGCCCCGCCATGGATCCACGCCGGACGGGCCATGCCGCTGCTTGCCACCGTGCGCGGAGGAGCACACGTCGCCGCTACTTGCCACCGTCGTCGGGGATCTGCAAGGG